CCCTCTATATTGTTCTCTATTGATCTTCCTGGTGCAGCTTCAACTAAAAGGTGTAAAGATAACAATACCAATCAGTCATGTGGGTGCCACAGGGATCAGTCCTTGGTCCAGTCCTGTTTGTGTTGTATACCGGATATGTCGGAAGGATAACTACAGACCACACAGTTTCTCATCATGCCTACGCTGATGACACTCCAGCTCCTGAAAGCATTTCATCTGTCAGATCTATCTACGTCTCTTCAGTGCATCGCTGAATGTACGCAGGACATCAAGTGCTGGATGACAGGAAACATGCTTAAACTTAATGACACAAAAACAGAAGCAGTTCTCATTGGTACAAAGCAACAACTCAGCAAGGTCAAAACCGACATCCTTACAGTCGCTGACTCTGACGTCAGATTCTCTGATGTGGTTAAGGACTTGGGTGTCCACATCGACTCTTCCTTGACTCTGGATGCTCATGTTAACCGTCTGAGCAGGACCTGCTACTTTCACCTAAGATCCATTGGTAACATTCGGCAATACCTGACAACTGCTGCAACTCAAGCCCTTGTTCGAGCTCTTGTTACATCTAGGCTTGATTACTGTAACAGCATCCTTTCGGGCCTCAGTTCTAAACTCCTTGATAAGCTTCAGAAGATCCAAAAACTTCCGCCCGCATCATCAGCAAGACTTCTAAACGTTCCCATATAACACCAGTGTTGAAAGAACTGCATTGGCTACCAGTTAGGGCCAGAATTGACTTTAAGATCCTCTGTCTGACGTACAAGTGCCTCCATGGTTTGGCTCCCTCCTACTTGTCTGAACTCCTACATCCGTATGTCCCCGCACGCAACTTGCGCTCAAACACACAAAACCGGCTGGTCATCCCATCCTACAAACTGAAATCCTTCGGACACCGATCATTCTCTTACTCCGCGCCTGTGCTCTGGAACTCTCTCCATGTGCCCTTAAAAGCTCTGCCACAATTGACATTTTAAGTCCAGACTTAAAACCCACCTTTCTCAGTATATTATGTATAACTTCATCTGTAAATACTCAAATGTAAATATTCTGTAGCGCTTTGAGCATGCCTTAGGGTGTGGAAGGGGCGCATTATAAATATACATTTATTATTATTATTATTATTATTATGTGTTATGGATCAAGAGGCATGGATAAAATACAACTGGTCCCCTGAAATGTACAACATATTTTTAGTTGATTTTCATGAATTGTTTATGATGCAGTATGACACAATACATAAACAGATTGAAGAAAAATGTGGAAGAAAGTGTCAAAGCATTAACTGATCTCTACCAGGCTGCAGCAGATAAATTCAAGAGAGTTTACAATAATTCTCTTCCATGTATTCCAAGCAGCTCTGGTGGGACTCTGAATTAGAGCATATCAAACAAAAGAAATACTCAGCTCTTAGAGCACATAGATCAAGGGGTGAAAACATTGATACATATATATGTCAAAAAGAAACTTTTCAAATCTACATTTCAACTGAAGAAAGACTTATATTTTCAAGATCAAAGGAGAAAACTTAGTGACTCAAGAAGTGACCCTAAACAATTCTGGAGCGTATTAAAATCAAATTCAGTTTCTCGTTCAGAGACTCCTAATATTCCTGTAAATGAATGGCATGATCACTTTCTGAACCTTTTATATTGTGAATCTGCCAATAATGTTATCGAAGAGACATTATGTGAGGATATAAATGACAACATGGCATCACAGTTGAATGATCCCTTTCAGAACATGAAGTATTTTCTAGTCTTCAAAAACATTAAGAGTGGCAAATAAGCAGGACCAGATGGCATAGCCGGTGATTTTTTCAAGGCTTCTAAAAGTTATATTGCACCATTATTAACTAAACTATTCAATAAGTTATTTGAAGATGGCATTTTCCTGAGACTTGGGGAAAGAGTATCATCTGCCCCTTTGCATAAATCTGGAAGTAAACTGGACCCAAACAATTTCAGAGGTATTTCTTTGATCAACCTAATGTGTAAAATTCTTACTTCCATAATCAATAATAGATTACAACAATGGTGCGGATGACAACAAACATAACTCTCAGAGTGTCAAGTTGGCTTTTTAGACATGGTTATTCAACCACTGACCATATATTCACCTTACAAGCTATGGCAACCAAGTATTTATCAAAAAGAAGGGGAGGTTCTATTGTTTGTTCATAGACTTTACCAAAGCTTTTGACGGCATTAATCATCAAATATTGTTTAGGAGTCTTGCTGAGCATTGCGTGTGAAGGGGAAATTTTATGAAATTTATCATCAAGATGTACCTCATCATTATGTGCATGTGTCAGAACTGATACTGGATTATCATCTTACTTCAACTGTAATGTTGGCACAAGGCAAGGATGTATTTTAAGTCCCTCAAATTTTCATTATTTTTATAAATCAAAGCTATCACAAAATGCTGGAGAATGATGGTGGAAGAGGTATTTTATATCTTCACAAGCCAAGGATGTTTATTCTCTCCTATTTGGCTGATGATGTCTCATCTGTATCTGACAGTGCTATGCAGCTCCAAAGGAAAATTAATGTTGTTGGAAAGGTTTTGTGCAGAGACTGGAATGAAGGTGAACCTGAAAAAGAGTAAAATAATGGTATTTCGCAATGGAGGTCCGCTCAGGGATTATGAGAAGTGGTTTTTAAAATGGAACACAAATTGAGGTTGTTAATATGTATAGATACTTAGGTATTGTGTTTACTCCAAGATTATCATGGACAAAAAGCGAAAACCTGTTTATCGTCTCAAGCGAGGGAAGGCCATCTTTTTCTATCAACAATTATCAAAAATGTTTTGATATATTAACCATCATGAATTGTTTAAGATATTTGACTCTATGATTGCACCAATACTCTGTTATGGATCTGAAATATGGGGAACAAGCTACTGTAAAATTATTGAAACTGTGCACACCAGATTTTGCAAGTCATTTCTTAAAGTCTGTAAAACTACCAACAACAACATGGTTCTGGGAGAGTGTGGGAGAGCTCCCCTCAGTATCAATACATCACAAGAGCAATCAAGTACTGGTGCAGACTGATGCAGTTTCCACGAAACAGACTTCCTTATCAGGCATATCTAATGATGAAAACTCTCGATGATAATGGTAAAACAACATGGGCTTCTCATATAGGGCTGATATTATTCCAATATGGATTTGGTTTCTTATGGATATCTCAAGACATAGGCTGTATATCCACATTCATGGTAATTTTTAAACAGAGATTCTATGACTGCTTCCACTCAAAACTGGCATGCATCACTATTTTCGTCACCCAAATGTAAATACTGTTCACAATTTAAATCATCTCTAAGCGTCGAACCATATTTAACCAGTGAATTGCTACCAAATCAACGTAAAATCATAACTCAGTTTCTGGTGCTGTAACTTCAGACTCGCAGTGCAATGTGGCCGTCATACAAACACCCCGTATAATGAACGTCTCTGCCTCTTTTGTCATGCTGCTGGCCTTGATTACATCGAAGATGAATTCCATATTTTATTAATATGTCCAAAATATTCCCAACAAAGATCTGATTGTTTTTCAATATATCTGACTCAACCACCGACAATTGAAACCTTCATCCGATTGTTGTCATCAGACAATATACATATTTTAAAATCATTGAGTAAATATCTTCACAAGTTCGCCTTTAGAAGGAATGATTATCTGTAAAATAAATCAATATTAAACTTTACTTAGCTTTACTCAGGATGTATTTACTTTTTGCCAAATGTATGTATTATGGGCCTTGGGCCTAAATTACCGAATAAACCTGTCTGTCTGTTAAATAGAAAACGTAGGGATCTATGTATGTCCCCAGGAGTTGATAAAGTATCGGAAAGTACGATAGTGCCCTACGACCGGGGATAGTAATGTACGTAGCGCCGTGAGCAGGCAATATGCCGGGATATGAGCGCCATATAAGCGGACTATCACTATATAAATTACTATTACTATTACTATAACCTTATTATGTACAGCACGCCGTGATGTTGCTGGAATATTGCTAAAAGCGGCGTAAAACCAAACTCAGTCAGTATTATGTACAGTAAACAACCTTCCCGACAGGTCACTCACGGCCCGAGTTGCTGGGAACCCAGTTCGACAGTGATTCTGACCAATCCGATCAACTGCTGATTCTCACTGCTGGAGCTTTTAAAACTTAGCACAATATTTCTCACGGCCCGTCAGTTTCAGCCTACATCCTTGTCTCTTGCCATGCAAACTGACACGTGACCATTGCAAATTAAGTTGAGACTGCCCTAGGTCACTAAGGAAGGTCACCTAGTTAGATCAATCTGTTTGATTGGCATTTAGAAGTTGGTGACTAATAAGAAAGTGAGATTGTTTATGGATAACAACTTCTTTATTATATATGATGCGACGTTTCGGTATGGTTTCTTATACCGTTGTCAAGCAAGAGTGAAGTACTACAGCACAGAACAGACTTTTTACATGAACAGGGATTAAGTAATAACTACATGTAGCTATGAATCAAGGGGATTAACAACAACAACAAGGCACGGTGGTAATAATGTAGTGACAATAGGAGGAAGCTAATAGTTAGATCAACAAGGCAATTGACCAGAGCAGGTGACCACGATAAGTAGCTAAGGCGGGTTTCCACAACTGGTAACTAAGGCGGGTTTCCACAACTGGTAACTAAGGCGGGTTTCCACCAACTGGCAACCAAGGCGGGTTTCCACAATTGGTAGCTAAGGCGGGTTTCCACATCCTGTAACTAAGGCGGGTTTCAACAATTGGTAGCTAAGGCGGGTTTCCACAACTAGTAGCTAAGTTAGTTAACTACTTTAAGGTACTATAAATCATACATGATTCATTAGGAACCGACTTTCTACAAGTAGTAGATACGAATTAACACGCTTGTTTCATGTTTGGAGTGAAGGCAAAAACGGCCAAATTAAAGACAACGTTTGGTCTCTTACTTGTTGTTGATCTCATACATGGAATTATGCGGCAGTCTAATCTAAGATACATTGTATAGATGGATTTGGGGAAGCGTTCACTTGAAACACAAGTTACAATCAAATTAATGAAACACTGACAAAAATTAACACCACAACAAAGTTATTAAAACGTGTCTACTGTATAGCACCTACTTAGGATCTGTCATGGAGAAGAGACATCAGCTTAATGAACTATGATTCATGAACATAACACCCCACTTACCACAGTTCCACCTAACAATTTCAGTCAATGTTTTGTTAGTTGCTCAAGTCATAATTACCATTTGAAAAGCTGCTAAGCTTTGACTTCGTGGGTGATATAACTTGCAATCAGCAATATTTGCTTCTTTCTACTTTTCAAGAAAGCTATCACAAACATCCGAAGTTGGTGGCAAGTCAGAGTACAGCAAACTACACAGTCGCTTGCTGTCAATCTATTGCTGTATAGCTATGTGACCTGTTCCGTGGCCTACGCTGAGGTCGTTTGTATGTGTCCAAAGTCGTCCAATACCAAATGTCAGTTTAATAGGGTAAACAGTTACCGACAATATAGTATGATTTTGATACAATTACATTGTATTTGTCCATTCTTTATAAGATAATCCAGGCTTCCAGATGACCTTCTATCAACACTACTTAACTGTTAAGTGTTGGCTTCTATTCAGCACTACGTAACTGTTAAGTGTTGGCTTCTGTTCAGCTCTACGTAACTGCTAAGTGTTGGCTTCTATTCAGCACTACATAATTGTTAAGTGTTGGCTTCTATTCAGCACTACGTAACTGTTAAGTGTTGGCTTCTATTCAGCACTACGTAATTGTTAAGTGTTGGCTTCTATTCAGCACCATAACTGTTAAGCGCTAATTAACTATTAATAATCTCCAGGGTATACGTTACGATAAATCTGCACTATATACTTGTGGAGATTTATCGGAACATATACCCTGGCGATTATTGAGGATGTCCGAAACCTTTTGTTCCTCACAATAAAGAAGTTGACATCCATAAAAATAATTGTCCTTACCAGGTTTTTTACAGATTACTTTTATGCATCAAAGTATTGATAAAACACTCCTTTAACATTGATGGAGTCCCCTTATTAAGAAAAAGTTAACTACGGCCCTGCTTGCGTGTTAATATTTGAAGACATGGGCCAATGATTGTATGTTATGAAACACTATACAGCCCCATTGATTAAACTGTGTAAAATAAAGTACATAAAATGAATAGAGTTACTTACAAAAATATTAACTGTATGAACACACTGTAACAGTAAGCCAGCGTTGTATGTAAATGAACATGCTATGATATGGGCAATAAAGATAGTTTAAATGACGTAAAACATATTATTTAGTGGCATGAGCATTTTGTACTTTCCGGTCCCTACCAGTGTCTGTACCCTTTTGTGAACACCTGGTGTCAATCAGAGGTCCATTTACAGTATTTTCGTTACATGTTAATATTTATGATGACCTTTACGCTGTGCGTAAACCTCTTTATCACATAACGACACTCTTAAATTTATGGAAACTCTACTCATTTTCTAGTTCTCATCGCTACGTTTCGTGGATTCTGCGCGTAACGTTGAGGAACTCTAAACGTCTTTGTCTTGGTTGCGAGCATTGAGCTGGATTGTAGATCTTCCGCACTTTGTCCTTTATATACGATGCTGTCTGTGGTTCCTTTCTACCATGGCCGCAGACATTGTGATCAAAGAAGCAGCATTGGCTGGGCAATGAAAGGGAGACAACCCATCTCTGTTTATTGATCATAAGCGCCCGTGTTCACATATACACCATCGGGATCGTGGGTAGGTGGAGTGGCGTCTGCTGGGACATAAAGAATGGTAACATACCTTAAAACGCAATACAAATGATTCTGAAATTTTGAAACATATCTCCAAGGACACTGAAATATGAAGCAAGCGTTCTGTGCATATTTCGATCAGGGTTAAACACGACAAATAACTTGGAATGAACATCACCAGCCACACACTGACATGCAAATCTTTGTAAACAAGATACGTACATGTCATTCAACAGTGCTGGCAGGATTGGCTTGTTTCCACGTGTACACACATATTGACATAGAGCAGTGACATTACTGTTGACAAAATAGACTCGTTTGTTTTGTTTGTGTGTTGTTTAAAGGCACAATGTCACACAACATTTCTCTAAAAATACAAAATGCATTTCTCTCAGTTAAACTATCAGACTTCATGGAAGCTACCATATAATATATTTTTAAAATACGCATTTAGATATATTAAAAATATTGCATGAATTCTTTTAATGAATTGATGCAACGTTGCGTTAAATCGACCCTCGCGCCCTTTATCGGCCTAACATTATTTCAAGCCGAACCCCATAGAGTTATGTCCCTTGGAACGCTCTTTACTAATATCCTATAACACAACTTGTGATTGAGGCCAGTTCGGCAAAACCGACAACGCCACGTGCGACAGTTTTCGATGTAAGGAGCAATCGTTTATATTCTATATATGGCAAGAACTTGGAAGCAGTCCGCCTCGAAGTTTCAATTATCGTTTTAGGCAAGTCGTCAGGGCAAATTAGTCTTTTATTGCATCAATAGGAAGCTAAAGTGAGTTAATATGCTCCCAATATATATAACATAGGCCAAAATATTGTCGAAAATGTGTCTTTAACGCCGCACTAAGCAATGTCCTAGCTGTATGGCGGCGGTCTGTCAATAATCGAGAGTGGACCAGACAACCCAGTGATCAACAGCATGAGCATCGATCTACGCAATTGGGATACGATGACATGTGTCAATTAAGTCAGCGAGCTTGACAACCCGATCCCATAGGTCGTCTCTCACCACAAGTAGGGGTTATTGAAGACCAATTCTAACCTTGATCTCCTGGGAAGAGACCAAAGACAAAGATATGTTTTCCCATCCATTTCGAGGAACTAGTCAGATGATAAACTACGTTCCAAGATCCAAGGTGATTTATACCTCTAATACTATGCATTCAACCTTTATCATTCTCTTCCAAAAACATATGTGTAATATGATTCGGTGAAACATTTGGGTCAAATGTCCCATTTCATTTCTTTTTAAATGTTAGATGAATACCCAGTTCGAGAGAGAAACCATTGAGGTCCTAGCCTGTTGATGTCTTTACCTTTCTTCTCAGTCACAAGATCGTTCAGTTTCCCTTTCCCTTCTTCTGGGGTGTGGCGTAGACGTCCGCCGCAGTATCTGGTGAAGTAACTGTATTTTGGAAAGAGAAAGAACAAATAACAATGGTCACATGTACAGTGATCATAGTCACACAAACCTCACTCCATGTGCTTACTGAATCCCCGTACATGTCATACACCAAGGAAATGTTTACAGAATCTCATGATCACACGTTGTTCACTTATCTTATACTGAAGCCCTTAATGCACTGCTTGCCACAACGAACATTTCTTCACAGTCGAGACAGTTGATGTTTTACTGATAATTGGCGCGGACTAAGAGAATAAAAGATAAAAAATTGACCAAACTCAGCTCTTTGGTGGTTTAAGTTGCATATCCTAGGACATCCACTTACATATCCTAGCATACCCACTGAAATATCCTAGCATGTCCCCCTCACACATCTAGGCATATCCACTTTACATAGCCTAGCATGTCCACTCATATGTCCTAGCATACCCACTGACATATCCTAGCATGTCTACTTATATATTCTAGCATACCCACTGACATATCCTAGCATGTCTCCCACATATCTTAGCATCTCCACTTATATATCCCAGCATATCCACTTACATAGCCTAGCATATCCACTTCGCATGTCCTGACACATCCACTTACATGTCCTGACATATCCAGCATAGCAAAATGCTTCCCCTAAAACCCATCCGAATCTATTCAAACTGACCATTGCACCTGAGAAGGCAGGTAACAGTGGAAATAAATAGAGAATATACTGAAATCTCATTACATACGAATTATACGAAACGAGTGTCCTCCTATGGTATCTGACTGAGCGAAAGCGAGGTCAGAAACCATAGGAAGGTCACGAGTTTCATATAATCTGTATGTTATGAGACCGAGTGTGGTATTTTATTTATTACCCATGTCTTACATGCATTGAATTGACAAAATAGTGTATTTTGTTATTGTTATGGTTTCAAACAGAAACCGGTTTCATAAAGAGGTTGCGGAAGAATATTGTTCTGTAGTACACTTTTGCATGACGTCACACTGTATTGACGTCACTACCCCATTCTCGTCTGTCCCCTTGGTAACCGACGTCACGATGCATGTCAGTTGTCATCGCCTCGTACAGCCTCCTACAGTAAACTACTCCGTAGCACCCCGTTTCTTGGTTTGCAGCTGCTTCACTCGGCTAACATCACTGGTGGAAACATTGCGTTTATGTTTTTCGACGGATATAATGTCTCAGTTCGACTCATTAAACAGCGACACGGCAACGTTCGCAATGTTTACATTCCCACAATGCATATAAGCTTGTAGAATGAATGAATTCACGTGTTTGTTATGAATGAACAAGTAGTTCCGTCACAACGTGACCTAACTGAGAGGCCATCGGTTATCCAATCAAATCGTTAGAATCTCAGGTCAAGTCGTTACGACACAGGTCAACGCGATACGACTCTCGTGTGACGTACGAGATTAGTATGCACCTACCCATACGTTGACTACGTGGGTAATAAGAGATGAAACGTACCATTCTGCACTTTGACCTTCTCTGGTCTGTTCTCTTCTGGGGTTTGGCATATACATCCTCTACTGGATCTGTGTATCAAAACAATAAAAACATTTCCTTGCTCTGTGCATCAGCTGAAAACTGCTGTGATGTGTGTGTGTGTCATTAGTTAGAAGGAACTTTTAGTGTATCTTTGTGTTCGCGTGCAGATCATAAAGATAAAACACATTACTCAGTGTTGGAGTCGACACGGAATAAACACATTGACAGCAGACAACTCTGACTTTCAATAAACACGTGGTGTCTACGTTAACTGAGAACCCCAAATGACATTTCTGTTTCGAAATTACAAGGATTGACAAATGTTAGGCCACCAGGTATACTTTACTGTTCGTTTTACTTGATTGTGTTGATTTCGGTGTACAGGTCACTGTGATCCACCACCAGAGGGCGCTGAAGGTCCCCAGACGATTCATACAGCAGATTGTCCTCCATAACTACAAAACGGAAATCATTTTATTCAGCATGTCTCTGTTATTGAGATGTTCAACAGTGAAATATCTCTTGGCTTATGTAGCCCTATACTTTACGATGAGACCATTCGATCATATTTACATCTCGCCGCCTGAACCTGTATCGACGGGAATATTAAAGAAACCCAGCAGAGAGCAAACCAAAGTTTGGAATACGAATGCTCTTTAAAGCTGAAACTCAGTTTACTTTCCGTCTGTTAGGGCAACCATTGATATAAGGGTAATGCTATTTTTATGGGCATTATCATTTGCAGAAGCCCGAGGTCTTCTCCATTAACTGCCCGACGAAGGAGGGCATTTGAAAACGACCGAGGGTTTCTGCAAATGATAATGCCCCTCGAAAATAGCATTACCGTTATTATTGCTAAAATACATGGAATTTGTAGTTGAAAAATAAAAAAGGAAACAATGAAGGAATTTGACTGTAAGCTTCAAGTTTACTCAAAACCAACTTCTGAGGGGTTGACTGCCCGAATGCAATTACGTCATCGAACAATTCAAGTGACGTCACCACAGAAAGTGACGATATTCGACCTTTGGCCTTTGACAAGACCACAGCCTGCAACATGTCAAACTATGTCAGTGTCTCGGTTTGGTCCAACAACAACGTTAACAGTGCAATTGCTGAGGCTAGCACCCCAACAAGAAAAGCCAATATTACCGCTATTTAAAGCGGGAATTCGGGGTGCTTTGACTTATTTCGCCCAGAATATCTGCCAGTCCAAAGCCAATGTCGAATGAACCGTAAGCCCACGCACCCGCACTATGACGTCACTTGACAACAGAACTGATAGTGGCCTGTAGTTAAGGTTGAGCGGTCCAATATAATTTGCAGCGGCCCACAAATTTCTGATAATGGGAGGGCCGTTTTATGATAATTCAATGTATTTTAGTTATAAACACTTATAACCTAATCTAACCTTGGTCAACACGAAACTTTTTACATTCATTTTAAATGCGGTATTATACGCGATATGTAAGACATATTTTAAAGTCATTTAGTGTATGAATGTTTATCAGCATAAGTTACCCTATAAATATTCTTATCAGACATGTTCCGTCTTTCATCTTTAAGATATGAACCCTAGGAGGTCCGGTTCAGAATGAATCTTCAGTAACCCATGCTTGTCGTAAGAGGCGACTAAACGGATCGGGTGGTAAGGCTCAGCTGACTTGGTTGACACAATTATTAACATGGGAGAAAAGCACAATGTTTTAACATATGTTATGACAGTATACGCTATTGAAATACAGAAATGTTACAGACTAACTGACCACGTTTCACAATCTGCAAGGGTCACAATGATAACGAACGTCCGAGACCAGTATCTTGTATGTGTTGGCAGATAGAGATAGGCTAATCAAATTCACTGTGAACTTCAATCATCAACACCGACGTTTATCAAAAATCATTAGACAACCCTGGCAAGATAGAGTTCTTAAATGCGCAGTAGGCACCTTATCGTCAGTCGAGTTAGGCAACAGGATTAAGATACAGCAACTGAAGTTCACAACACCAACTTTATCGTCATCTTTATCAGTAAAATGGATTATCTATGATAACTGGAATAGGTATAAAAACAGGGACGACACACTAATCATCCTGTGACTGCTGTGTATTAAACCCTTGTTTATTTTACTTTACAGGTAAGAAACTTTACTTTCTTCTACTTTGACAAATCTTTACTCATTGCTATTCTATATTAACTGTAATCTACTGTAGATACCTTTTAACTATATGTTCGACCCTCGGCGAAACCGTTAGGTCTATGTGGAACGTGGCGTCGTTTAATATATCTCACAATTACTCTGTATTACTGTTTAGGATTGTTTATTTGATAATGATTAGCTCTACGTTGTCTTGTGGCTATTGTAGATTTTATAGAGTGTGTCAGGTATCCTAACTATTGCATTACGCGCAAACACGATGTTGTTTAGCGACTGTTGTAGAATGTACATTGTATTGTAAGTATGGGGTGATGTCTGGATTGTATAGAGTGTGTACCTAACTAGTACATTGCGTTATGAGCAATATGCTGTTTTGTGTTGTATGAACGCGATATGCTTTATTACATGTCTCTATATCTTCTGTATTACAGTTTAGGATTGTGTATTTCTATACTGATCTTTTGACACTACACTGTTATGTGACTATTATAGAATTTATAGAGTGCGTCGGATATTTTAACTGTTGCATTACGTTGTGAGTACTATGCTGTCTTGTGACTGCCACATAATGTAGATTGTGTGAACGGCTTCACTGGGGTGATGTGTAGAATATTGAACTATTGTTGTGTACATTGGAATATGTATCGTGATGAATGTAGTATGTGTCGTGCGTAACGAATCTACATGTACTTTGATATCTGATTGCATTGTGAACATGTTCTAATTATTAACTGTAAACCATTCTATTATTGACTGATTATGAAAATCATCCTGTGACTGCTGTGTATTAAACTCCTTGTTTATTTGACTCAGGTGTTGTGTTGTGCGTGGGTTGGTATAGTCAGACCTCTTTGCCAAGCGAGCTAATTCCCTAACTCGCGTTTTTAACACAATCATGTCATCAGTTCCCAATTGCGCAGACCGATGCCCGTGCTTTTGATCAATAGATTGTCTGGTCCAGACTCAATTATTTACAGATCGCCGCCATATAGCTGGAATATTGCTCCAGTGTGTCGTAAAACTAAACTCACTCACTCACTTAAGAAATAAACATTTTAAAAATTCATTAATATTAATAAGGCATCGGACTTTTGACCAAGTAAGTAAGAACATCGCTATAAACTGTTTCCCACAGTTCTAGCTCTGCTTTAGAATGTTGATCACATAGGTCAATAGAACTACCCGCTTGTCAACAAGACCGATTGGTTTGGCTTCAATCCAGGTTTAAATCATATTCCAGGCTGGAATGACTACGAGTGTGTGTGTCAGTATGATTTTACCCGCCTTCCAATAATATCCCAGCAATATCAAGGCTGGTTGCACAAGAAGGTGGCTTCAATAATATTCGACCTATGTGTGTAATCAAACACCGGTCAACGCGTGACGAGCGAAAGCGTTCACCATCATATTAAAACATCTTACCTATTTCCTCGACTTCATGTCTGGAAACGAGACAACATAAGAAAGTGGCATTTTGTAGCAAGATAACTTATGGAAATAAAATATAGATAAAATTATATGATTATAAACGAAGTTGAAATCTATCAAGTGAACTTTTCCTTGATTTGCTAACAGTTGAGTATGGTTTCGTAATGCCCAAATATAACTGTACTCGACACATTGGAAAGTTGTTTCAGAAACGCATTACTTTTTACACACCTTTAGATGTACAAACTTGTCTAGTTTCTTATTCAATCAGAATGGGGCAAAATATGAAAACTTTTAAGAATATTTTTATTCCTGTAATAAATGTCATTGGTATGTGTAACTATACTGGTGACATAATCTAATAAATCACTGCATCATTTGACACATACGAACCGTTTATTGCCAGGAACATCTGAAATATAATGCAAGCATTTTAATATTGTACCAATGCATATATGTGTATATTTCACAGTCTAAAAGTAAGTGGTTATGGATGTCTGATCATTATCTCTGTCCAAACGAAAGGGAAATGACATTTTGTTGGAATTATCACGTCGAATGTATCTCCAGCAGAGAGGCTCATCGTGGAAGCTCTGGTTCCAGATAAACTAAACATGGCTTTATGTCCCTTTTTGGGGAGGGATCAGAGATAACCCCACAGGTCGCCATCACAGGTTCCCCACACACAGGTAAACATGTCATAGAATGCATAGAATCCGGCTTCCAGTATACACGTATCAGTATAAGATGCTCCATTTACCTGGCTGGGCTCTCTTCCTATTCCTCTTTAACCAGGACGATGGTGATGGTGATGCCGACAAGTAGGGCCACTGTTACTGCCGTCGCTGTAGCTGCTATCAGACCGTAGTTGACTGGTACATAAACATCGGGGTCAATGTAAACTCCCAAATGAGCTGATAAAATGTAATGTAGAGAAACAAATAAAGGAACACAGGAAAATGCAAGTGTTCCTTTTGATATTTCTAGTTTTCATCACCAGCTTTGAATAGCGCTGTGGTAATGAAAACTGGAAAATGATAAAGGAACAATTGAATTTTCTTGTGTTCCTTTATATTTTCCCCTACATTACATATTACATGTTTAGCATGCACCCGGTTGTTTTGAGTCCTTAGGACTAATAAGGTACTACTACTACTCTACTACTACTACTACTACTACTACTACCACTTCGCCACCACTTGCTGCTGCCACTACTAGGAATATTACGATTATTACTACTGCTGCTGTTGCTACTGCAACTGCTACTTCTTCTGCTGCCACTGTTACTACTACTCCTGGAACTGCTCATACTGCAACAACTACTTCTACTACGACTGATAATTGGGGATGCGTAGTATAACCGGTTTACCGGTATATAACGGTTCAGACATGAAAAACGATACGTATTGCGATACGTTAATCGAAAACCGGTATTTTGACATGCATTTGGAAAACTTTGGTAACACTCGCAGAAATCTTCGGATAGTTCCGTTTTTTACATCGGAAGCCATGCGTGTGTTGTAAAAATAGTGACCCCAAAAACGAACAATTTATTGTGGTGCCAAATACTAGGGCAAAGGCATCGGTAAGGCAGCATTTTGGGTTGAAAAGTTCACGGTAGATGGAACTATTGGTAAAGTAACGTGGTATGTAAAATTTGCAATGGTAAAGTAGTTTTTATTAAAGCTTAATCAGGCATAGTGATTTTGTTGTGTGTTTTGCCTTATAAATCAAACATTAACGTCTTGCAATATATTGCAATACATATCGCAATACATGCTTCGCATCGCAATATATCGCAATATGAAAATTCTTTGCAATACCCACTTCTACTGATAATACTACTAATGATGATAATACAATTAACGGAACAACTCCTAAGTGAAGACAGATTGTAAACATGGAATGTCTTCCCCACGGCAGGCTGTTTCTATGAGACGGCTATACCACTCTGCATTTTTCATGTTCTCACCTGAATCTGTCTCCACGACGATGACGTTGGTGTAGTTACTAGCGCCGTAGTTATTCTGTGCATTAATCCGAATTTCGTAGACTGTTCCAGGTTCGAGGTCATCAATGACCAGCTGGAGGGTGTCCTTCTCGGTTGGCCGTGTTGGGGTGGGTGGTCCACTGTCCGCCAGGTTGTCTGTATTGTATGTTGAAACTTTGTTTGGCGCCACCGTTGAAACCTTTCTCCCATGTCAGGGTAAAATGACCGAACGCTGATGGATGAAGCTTGCATATCCATCGGTGTATCTGGCATAGCTACACGCCATGGGATACAAATAGGGACGTCATCTGAGTTTCTCAACATTTACTGACTCAACTAAACACGACAACATATATAACTGTAGGTTGTTGAATACCCTCACAAACATTCAGCCCTGTCTTTGTGAGATACTATAATCTTAAGTACAGGAGTAGGAATATAGGGCAAGAACATCATATTTCACAGCTGCGTACAATCGATATTTATGTTAGTCTGTATTTGTGGGTGTCCATCGTGAACTTTCAATCAATTTTTCTAAACGAGACGTTGGAGTATTGGTGATATTTTGTTTTGTTTTATGAAATCATGCACGATGATATGTATGCTCATGCGACAGAGGCATGTGTATAGCGAGCCAGAAATCGGGATGACAGTAGAGGCAGTGTTTGATGCAACGCTTCACACTTTGAGTCGGAAGTGGAAAGATCAGATGTTTCCTGACCAACGGACAGCCTCATATATGATTAAAATATATTTAGACTTTACCTTCATTGAGAGTGGTGAGTGTATTTGTGATGCGTGTTTGTGATGATCCCTGTGACTATGGTCCAAAATGTCAAAAGGTCACGGGCTTGTGGACGTCTTGCATATAAATAGAGATCACCAAACCTTTTACTGTTCTGTTTTGTTACAAAATACCATCAGACAATGTTGATAGGTTGGGTTGGTTTCCTGTGGTTTCGTGCTAGTTTTCCTATGGGGCTGGTTCAGGGGAGTATCAGCACTGGTGTAAAAGTTTGCAGGAGTGTCATACACTGGTGTAGAGTGCTGAAGCTTACAGGAGATATGTATAGGGTGCTAAAACTGAAAGGGAATAGGGTGTTAGAGCTAATGGGGCATTTGTGTAGGGTGCTAGAGTGAGTGAGCGCTTCAGCTGAAGGGGGATGTGGATAGGGTGCTAAAGCTGAAGGGGATGTGGATAGGGTGCTTAAGCTGAAGGGGATGTGTATGGGGCGCTAAAGCTGAGGGAGGTGTGTAATAGGTGCCTGAGATGAAGGTGGCGTCTGTATGGATAGGGAGCGAGGGCTGACGGAGTGTGTGTATAGGGCGCTTGCTGAAGGGGGATGTGGATAGGGTGCTTCAGTTGAAGGGGATGTGGATAGGGTGACAAAAGCTGAAGGTGGATGTGGATAGGGTGCTAGGGCTGAAGTTGGATGTGGAAAGGGTGCTAGGGCTGAAGGGGATGTGGATAGTGGGCTTAAGCTGAAGTTGGATGTGGATAGGGTGCTTGCTGAAGAGGGATGTGGATAGGGTGCTTAAGCTGAAAGTGGATGTGGATGTGGATAGAGTGCATAAGCTGAAGGTGGATGTGATAGGGGGTGCATAAGCTGAAGGGGGATGTGGATAGGGTGCTTGCTTCAGAATGGGATATGTATAGGGTGCTGAAGCCGAAGGGGATGTGGATAGGGTGCTTGAACTTGAAGCTGGATGTGGATAGGGTGCTTAAGCTGAAGGGTGTGTGAATAGGGTGCTTAAGCCGAAGGGGATGTGGATATGGTGCTAAAGCCGAAGGGGATGTGGATAGGTAGCTTAAGCAGAATGTGGATGTGGATGTGCTTAAGATGGAGCGGATAGGGTGCTAAAAGCTGAAAGCTGAAGGGATGTGGATAGGTAGCTAATGTGGATAGGGTGCTTGAAGAAGGGGATGCTTAAGCTGAAGGGGCTAGGAGTGCTAAAGCTGAATGGGATGTGGATAGGGTGCTAAAGCTGAAGGGGGATGTGGATAGGGTGATTAAGCGGAAGTGGTAGCTTAAGCAGAATGTGGATGTGGATAGGGTGCTAAAGCTGAAGGGATGTGTATAGGATGGTAGCTTGAAGGGTGGATGTGGAGAGAGGTGCTAAAGCTGAAGGGATGCGAAGGGGTGCTTAAGCTGATGTGTATAGAGTGCTAAAGCTGAAGGGATGTGGTCGGATAGAGGGATGTGCTAAAGCTGATGTGGATAGGGATTAAGCGGAAGGGGATGTATATAGGGTATTTTAAGCTGTAAGGGGATTTGTATAGGTGCCTGAGGGTGTTAGGATGACATTTCGTACAAAACAAACGAACAAAACAAACTCACAAGCCGAAATCAGCATAACGTTCTTCAGAAATTGTTCCTTCCGTGTTTGTCACTACCACTGTGTAGTTCCGGAAGTCCTCATCTTTGACATCAAAGATGGTTACACTGCCTGTCACACGAACACCATCTGTGATGACCGCACTGTTATTGAGAGGCCTTCCATTCCGGGTTCTACGCCACGTGAAGGTTGGCTCAGGGGAAAGCTAGGACAGTTAGGTTCAGTGTCACGTTTCCACTTAGGACAGATCTGAATTCATAGCCGTCCGTTGTGGATCCGTATGATCTTGGAGCACCTGAATTGTGACAGAAATGAATAACGGGGCATCCTTGTTTTCAGTCAAATAACTCTCTATCTACAGGAAGCTGGGGGTAGTCTAACACTGGATGTTTGGTCTCATTTCGATCCCCGGTTCAGTTAATGTTAACAACATTGGATGTTTAGTATTAGTTGTCCGAAATGTGAACTCTGGGGCGGGAAGTTGTCAGATTTGGATGCTTTTGAAGTCAAAGTAAATTCGGGGAGGTGTTCAGAATATATAAGGTGGAAAGCACTGTGCTTCCGTCGTGTCACACTATATCAAACCAGCGGTTGTGTGACAATGAGGTTTATTATTACTGACGTTATTGCTATTACCACTACCTCTGATTCTAGATTTCCATTGGAACTCTACTGCCACTGAGTGTCGTAATACCACTCTATTCTGTACTACCGATGTAATTTCTTTGTTGCCATTTGTCTTGACTTCTAAACCAAATTCATTATATAATGTAATTGTTCATTGAACCACATTGGTTTGTTGTTTGTTGATTTCATTTGTCTATAGGTTTTTAGGATTACCTTATACTTGATTCGGAACTTGACATTATTCAGGAATCAGACTGTACAGTTTTATACTTGCATTTCACTTGCAATGATATGCTTTGTTCCTCAGCTTGTCCCAGCTTATTCCTTGCAGAGCACGTGTATGGTCCTGTGTGAAGACATCCAACATCGTCTATGCTCGCTTTCAGTATCTTGGCACTTGTCCCACTTCCTATGCTGGAGGTGCTGTTCCTGATCTCTATGTCTGAAGCAGGGTTACTGTTGATGTGACACTGCAGTGTCACGTTGTCGTGTTCCTTCACGCTTTTCCCACCAGACGTGACATTAAAAGACAGGATCTCTGGAGCATCTAGAACATTACAACATTGGGATTCTGTGGATTATGTTTACAACATGGGGATTCTGTGGATTATTTTTACAACATGGGGATTCTGTGGATTATGTTTACAACTTGGGGATTCTGTGGATTATGTTTACAACATGGGGATTCTGCGGTTTATTTTTACAACATGGGGATTCTGTGGATTATGTTTACAACATGGGGATTCTGTGGATTATGTTTACAACATGGGGATTCTGCGAATTATTTTTACAACATGGGGATTCTGTGGATTATTTTTACAACATGGGGATTCTGTGAATTATTTTTTCATGATGCGGTCTTGAAATGCCGCTCTTTCTTTTATGATTCAACCATGCAACTCTTTACATTGGAGATGCATCATTTCCTACTGCCCTCACACGAGCATGGGTATGTTCTGGCAAGAGCGTAATCATGGCACGTTCTTCAAGTTTCTGCGTTTTGAGTTGGTCAAAGACATTGCATATTTCACCAACTAGTGGAAGGTAAACAATGTTCTCAGTTGGTTCAAGTCCGTGTGTAATACTCACAACAAAAGATATCCCTGTTACATAATTCTTGTGAGGTTCAGAACGTATCAGTCAACCTTCGTATTTATGCGAGTAAATAACGCAAGACAGGATTAACGTGAGCATTGTGTCGGTATCAGTAGACTGAAATCCTTACTTACACTGGACTTCAAGTGTTAAAGTTGTAGATGACATTTTGCTCAGTCGTGCTCCCGAGCAGGATGTGACCTCGTTGGTTGCTGTACAGACATATACTCCTGCGTCATCCTTCTGTATGTTCTTCAGATGAAGAGTCCCATTTTCAGAGATCCTTGCATTTACACCTCTCTTTGTCCAAACAACTGACGTCACTTCCGGGTAGGCGTCTGCCTTACAGTGAATGATCAAATCTCCCGATACATTCACGACGCTCTGAGTCTCGCCAGTGTGAAATACGGGCGGGCCTAAGAACAAAATCACATAAGAACTGAAGAATGCTATCGAGTAATGGGTTGGACGTGCCGTATCCACGCTAAACGGGTCGTGCAGAGGACATGCAACCTGTTCCTATACATATGGGTCTGCCATTGTTTCTTTGATAGAAGGAAACAAAAAGCGAGTGAGTATGGCATTGCACTGCTTTTAAAATATTCCAGCAATACCGCAGCCGTGGACACAGGAAATGTCGTAAGGATGAGAAAGCCGCAATAAGTTGGTGGGTATAGTGGCTGTAAGTGTTGCATGATCCCCGGGGAGTTGAGATTGATAATACGATGTGCTGTTGAGGTTGACATCCAGTGATCGAGGGGGAAAAACAGTGCTTTGAGTATGTACTAGATACATGGATATGTGAGCTATATAATTATCGTATATAATACATAATGAAATTATCAATGGTCCTCACACATTGCCCCTATTTAAGGGAATAGAACCTGGGTCTTTCGGCGTGACAAGCGAACGCTTTAGCAACGAGACTACCCCACACAAAACGCCTGAAACAGCGACATACACATCTTTCTTCGCAAGCTTAATTACCGATGTCCCCAAAACAATGTAGTCCATGAACCGTCCACCATACTCGGAGCTACGATGTTAGTTTCACTGAACCACATTACTCTTTCAAGTCGATGAAGGCGTCAGACATATCACTTGATCAATACATTTGTCTGAGTACAAACAACAACCAAACCTCCACTTCACTTTCTGATATACCACGTAAAGACAATTCGTGAAGGTCCGGGTTAGAATGAACCTTCAGTAAGCCATGCTTGTCTTGAGAGGCGACTAACGGGATCGGGTGGTCAGGCTCACTAGCTTGGTTGACACATGCCATCGCTTCCCCATTGCACAGATCGATGCTCATGCTGTTGATCACTGGATTGTCTGGTCCAGACTCGATTATTTACAAACCGCCACCATATAGCTGGAATATTGCTGAGTGCGGAGTAAAACTCAACTCACTCACTCACTGGCTCACGAAAAGACAATCATACCTAGTATTCACTGCATCTTGAACGAAATACAACAATGACGTTATAGTAACACCGCTCGTACATTGTATACAACGATGCTCCGTTGTATTCGCACTGTACCCAACCCGCCTTGAGCATTCACAGTATCAACACTTAGACTGCATACAACATTGGTACTTAGAATCAGCAATGCACATCTATTAACATTGTACCTTGAACGTAAACACCATTGATACTTAGTATCGACAATTCACCTTGAAGGTACACATCATTGGTTACCTAGTATTTACATTGTACCTTGACTGTATACACTATTTGTATTTGTTATTTTTACATTTTACCTCGAATGTTTGCAATATCCATAGAAAAGGATGTTTCGTGAGACAGGCAGTCCCAAAAGAATACAGCACGATACTCTGTACTCACTGTGAACCTCGACTGTATCACTAACATTTCCATGTGGTAATATCCCATTGTCAGCTTCACATCTGTACAGCCCGGAACTAGACTTGTACTCTGGGGGTATAGTGTAGATCTGACCTCTGCCAACAATCTTCCCTCGATGGTACCAGGTAAAGTTAGACGGGAACGGGTTTGCTGCTGTCACGGAACAGTTCAAAGATGCATTCTCATTCAGGAAGAAAGTGTATCCGGTGCATGGCTGCACTGGGCGTATGTCCAGGGAAGGGGGATCTGAAAGGATGCCGAGAGCCATCAGCAGAAGCATTTAACAAGTCTCTGTATCATTCTTACAAATTGATGTCCTTAAAACTGGCATGGAGCATGCAACACCCCTTTGCTTAATGACCTTGTCATTGACTCAACGTGTCCGAGTTATCCTCCCTGCATCAACGTCGCCATCTTACCATTCCAGGAACGATTGGCCTCTATTGGGCAGAATTGTTAGGCCTGAACACATGGACGGACAAATACACAAGAATGACACACTCACTCTCGACTGTGACTGTGGCTCTGAACCCCTCGTGTGACAAGCCACATTTGCGCGTGACGTGAACGCTGTTCATAGATGTCACTGTTACCGTATTTTCTAATATTATTCGTTTCTCGTCATGTAATTCCATCCCCGGTACTAATTTATTTTGATCATCCCCTTTGTCGTGTGCACATTCCAAAAACTGTTGAATTTACTTGGACATAGATTGGCTAGATATTAACGGTTCATTTCAGACTTCAGTCTCATATCTGTTGTCCTATGACGTGTCTGATGACACCAGTAACTGTTGAATCTAATATTTTCAGAAGCTTCAATGGTAAACTTGATGAACGAATGATGTCATGGTATGGGTGCATTCGTATTGTCAAACAATGCGTGTGACAGGTACATTGGATATCCTTCAGTGTTTGACGTTTGAGGTATACTCTTTATACATTCGTATTGTCAAACAATGCGTGTGACAGGTACATTGGATATCCTTCAGTGTTTGACGTCTGAGGTATACTCTTTATACATTCGTATTGTCAAACAATGCGTGTGACATGTACATTGGCTATCCTTCAGTGTTTGACGTCTGAGGTATACTCTTTATACATTCGTATTGTAAAACAATGTGTGCGACAGGTCCATTGGATATCCTTCAGTGTTTGACGTCTAAGGTATACTCTTTATACAGTACAACCAGAAATTATTGAGAATTTAAAGATTGTAATTTTTTTTAAACTTTTCACTCATTACTCACGTATTAATGTGAATCTTAGCAGAACATAACTCCAGATTCAAAGACAGGTGAACAGTTAGTATTTTGTCAAGTCACCACGAGCAGCAATGCAGGCTTCAGTGCGGTGGGGCATACTACTGATCAAAGAAGTTAGAGTGTCGTGGTCCATGCTGTCCCAATATTGGACCACCTCTTCTTTCATTTCAGCAACATTTGTCAGATATTTCTTATTGACAATTTCCTTCATCAGTCCCCAAACATTTTCTGTTGGAATTAGGTCAGGGCTATAGCTTGGCCAATCTAAAAATGTCATATTTTGGGTCCGGCACCAGGCCTGTGAATGCTTTGAACGATGTTTTGGGTAGTTGTCCTGCTGGAAAATCCCAACATTTCCATAGAACACGTGAGCAGATGGAAGTAAATGTCCCTCGAGAATATCTGTGTACCGCTCACTATTCATATTCCCTTCAAATACACAGAGAGGCGTTGCCCCTAACACAGATATGCCACCCCACACGTCAAATTTCGGACTGTACTTTGGGCGCTGATACAAAGGGTTTTCAGTTTGTCTGGTCCAGAATTTCAGTGTATTAGGAAACAGCCACACAGAACTTTCATCTGAGAAAATCACATTGTCCCAGTTAAAATGTCAATGCACCAGTTCAACCTTCGCTCCTTTTGTTCAGGTTTCATGATCGGTGATGGAATTCCTCGACTTTTCTGCCAACCCATTGCATGCAGCTCAGTTCTAATTGTCTCCTTACAGACAGCCACAGTTCCTCTATCAATCATATCCAGCCTTATGTTTTCTAATCTCCTTCGTTTGTTTTTAGAAACAAGAATACCAAGCCGCCTCCTGTCCCCGACAGGCCTACCTGCGCCTCCCTGTTGCTCAATGCCATACCCATTTGCAATATTTTTCAAAACACGATAAACAGTGGACAAAGGGATGCGTGTCCTGCTTGAAATCACTGTAGCTGATCTGATGTCCTTGTTATAATACTCTCAAATCAACTTCCTCTTCTCTAAATCATCCATACTGAGGATCACTGAAAATGTCGTCTGCTAGCAAGTAAACAAAGGGAGATAACTCTTCACAAACTAATGAAAAAGGATTAACGGATTGTCTCTCTTGAATGAAACCAAGCACTTGATAGCTGGTCAAGGTTGTTTATACTAGAAATCCAATTAAACATATTCCTAAAATTCTCAATAATTTCTGGTCATACTATACTATACATTGCCCTAACGTTCCCCCTTAATTGAAGGAACAATGCGTTCTGATGATGCATCATTCAATGTAACATCACTTGTTGTAGATATAGCATCACAATAGCGAACTGAATGATCGTATTACGATGTACACCCAATTAAAGTGTTGCTGTTATGACATCATCAGGGTTTTTTCCGAATGTTCTACTTACAATCTACAATTTACATACACTGCTACTGTTAGCACGCCATGAATTTTGTCTGAATTTTCTACTTACAATTTACATTTACTTAAACTGTTCTGTTATGACATCATTAGTTTTGTGTGAATGTTCTACTTACAATTGACATTTACTTAAACAGCTGCTGTTATGACGTCATTAGTTTTTTTGAATGTACTAGTTACAATCTACATTTAAGTCAATTGTTGCTGTTATGACGTCATTAGTTTTGTGTAAATGTTCTACTTACAGTTTACATTTACTTAAACTGTTGCTGTTATGACGCCATGCGTTTGTGTGAATGTTCTACTTACACAGTACGTCCAAATTGATGGTGTTGCTTTGCATCCCTGCCGACTGACACATCCATTCAGATCGGTCTTTCGTCGATAACTTCCTGATGGTCAGAGAGTAAGTGTGCTGGGGTAACTCCTCCTCACGTGAACACGAGTAGTTGCTGTTGCTGGTGACCTGATTCCCGGTCTCCACATCAACGCGGCAGACAGGAGCATAAGTGTCATTTTTCATGATTTGAAACGTCGTCAGTCCTGTATCTCCGACACCATTGACATGACAGGAAAACGTGAACGGATGACCGAGAATTGCACGTGTAGAGGGTTTTTCCAAAGTGATGTTAACACCTTGAATAAAATGAAAGAGTAAGCGTTATTACGTCGTAACATTGAACTGTTATTGATATATGGCATTTGGTGGTCTATGCTATTACCATGTCACGGAAGTTTGTGAAGGAATCAAAGGCAGTTTATAGGGAGCACACTGTAATCTAAAGCCATTGATTAGTATCTCACTGTTATATGTGCTCTAGTTGGGATTACACTTTCTCAGTAACCGGACAACTGATCATCGAGACCACAGATTCGGACCTTTCGGCCGTGATAGCCGTGCCAGTTTACATTTATCAGAGGGGTACCCAAAGTCCGTGTTCTAGACTACCAGTGGAAATAATTTGTGGAAGCCTCGGTGATGAGTCGGATAGGCGGTTGACTTTGTGTGCTGGCGATTAGCTGCCTGATTTTGAGGGTGAGTTTCGAATTTGTACTTCACTGCGAAATTGTAATGCCAAATATAACAAATGTCTTTAACAGCTACTAGTATATCATTTCAGATTTCTGTTCCGTGCACTGTTGATGTAGACTGGACTTCCCAGACACTGGGTAGGTACTCTCCTTGGTCCCTATTCAGATGCGGTTGTAATTGTCCTTATCGCCAATGTCCATGATTGGCGCGTGCGCAAACTATTAGAGTCTTTAACGAGAAGACATTTACAACCTTGGGAAGTCAATTAGGCCATTACTGGCTTCTACCCCAATCTGCTAATCACTTGTATAAACTCTTCCCTTCTGTTTCTTATTCAATTTATTGTATATACATGCAACACTGGCTTCTTGTACAATTAGTATATACATGGATACTTATTGGTATATCTTGTTTGTTTCAATTCACCTGACCAAGGGGCAAGGAATAGCTCAGGAACTTTGTCACATACAATAAAGAAGAAGTTGTGATCCATATTATTTGCCTTTTACGAGAAAATAGCGGTTGTGGGTTGGAGGATAGTTGATGTAGCCGGGACAATAGCGGGTGCTCTCATTCATCTGCTCGCTCGCTCACTCACTCACTCCTCACTCACTCACTCACTCACTCACTCACTCACTCACTCACTCACTCACTCACTCACTCACTCACTCACTCTCACTCACTCACTCACTCACTCACTCCTCACTCCTCCTCCTCACTCACTCCTCACTCACTCACTCACTCACTCACTCCTCCTCCTCCTCACTCACCTCACTCACTCACTCCTCACTCACACTCACTCCTCACTCCTCACTCACTCACTCACTCTCACTCCTCCACTCACTCACTCACTCCTTCACTCACTCACTCACTCACTCACTCACCCTCCTCCACTCTCACTCACTCACTCACTCACTCACTCACTGTGTATGTAATATACTGTCAGGAAGTATCAGGAACCTCGACATACTGCTATTATTGCTGTCTCCTCTCATCACATCACCGACCGCCTCCGTGGGGTAGTGGTTAGAGCGTCCGCCCGGAGAGCGGAAGGTCGTGGGTTCGATCCCCGACCGCGTCATACCAAAAGACGTTAAAATATGGTACTTGTTGGTCCCTGCCTGGCGCTCGGCATTAATGGGTACAACAAGGACTGGTCGGCTCGGAGTCAGTATAATGTGTCTGAGTGGGGTATTCATGCTTCACTGCGGCATGGTATCTCAGTGGGCTAGCACTATAAAACCAGCTTAAGTCTGGGCTAGTACAAGCAGCCGCACATACACATACACGCGCATGCACGTCGTCATATGAGCGAAATATTCTCAAGCACGACGTAAAACCCAATTTCACCTCACCTCACCTCATCACATCACCAATACCGACACATCTGAAAACACGTCGTGTTTTATGTCAGTTATCTTCTCCATCTCTTAGGCAGAATCTCAAGAATAGCAAACTCTGAGTATCATTTCTGTGATAAATACTTTGTTATGCACAATAGATGTGATATTGATGTCGCCATGGTCGTTACCTAAAACGGGATTTTACACAGTGTTTTAACCCCTTTGTTTTACAATGAAGTACACCTGGGTTCTGTCACCATGAGCATCAACGCGCTGTCCCGTGCAGTGGCTAAAGCGTCCTCAAGTCAGCCCGGGTTGGGGTTCTAATCCCACATGGGTACAATGTGTGAACCATTGCTGGTGACCCGGTGACACGAGGTGCAAAACCATATTCATTCCATTAGTAATTCATTCAGTCATGTCACTGGGTTTCCTGAGAAGGCCGCATGCGGTCGTGCACCGTGGAATATGTATTTGGCTGCTATCTGAATCACGTGAGGGGTAAGGTTGCACAATAATGCATATCACTTTATAATTGTTTTCGAAAAATACAGCTGTCATGACTAATGCTAAAGACAGGACTGTACCGGACTGGGTGTGATTTCCGTGAACAAGGTCGACTCTTAATCACGTTTCCCTGATGTCTTGCTTGAATATATTTCCGCTTTAAAGTTTATCAACATAATCTCGACTTCTCGGCCTCTATCCATGCAGATTGTAGATATTTCTCCACGAGTCAACAAGCTTGTAAATTAAAATGTAAACATGTCATGATATTGATTAATAACTTGTATTCACTTCAATATAAAGTATTGCCTGTATATATGCTTCAAAAACCATTTAGTTATATACAAATGCAATACATTGTCTCATTCATGCAGGACCAGTGAAGATCCGGGTTAGAATATTGATCTTCAGTAACCCATGCTTGTCGTAAGAGGCGACTAACGGGATCGGATCGTCAGGCTCGCTGACTTCGTTGACACATGTCATCGGTTCCCCATTACGCAGATCGATGCTCATGCTGTTGATCACTGGATTGTCTGGTCCAAATTGGGTGACCCCCCTTCAATATCAGTTTCCCCCTCTTCTCTCCCCCCTTTCCAAATTAATCATTTGAAACCTCACGCTTCGCATTCGGCTTCAAATGAAAGTTAGAGACTATCAATTCGGTCTAACATTCATCTAATTTCCAAACACAGTATGTTTATCTCCTAAATGACCTAATCAAAATTAATTGATATTGTAACGAAGGTAATTTGTGGCTGTTGGTTGCTTCAAATATACTTACATTGAGCAAGAGGGCTCCAAAACGTCATCAACACCAGCACCTGCAACATTTCCCTCGTCGACGTCCTCCGCCAGCAGTTGTACAGAATGAAACAGCATGGAGCTTGAAACTCCTATGTAACAACTGTACCAGGGATGTACATCGCATTCCAAGCTTAGGTCATCCCGCAGTCGCGATTGGGTTTCCGTCCGTGTAGCCTAGACACGCGGCATCCGTATTATCTGTGTTGCTGCTATTAGCAGATATCAAGAACAGAGCATTGTGGCAAGTGAGTGAACGTAATGAAATGTTTTCTGTCCAATACAAGGTCAATTAATTTCGAATGTACTTGGACACAGGAAAGTCTACTTCTTTTTCATCACAACTGGACAAGTTATATGACGTTGTGCTGATGTGGATTAACTAAAAATATCTAGACTGAGTGGTTTTAACACCACTTTGAACAGTATTTCAGTTATATCACAGTGTGTCAGCTTGATGTGGGAGGAGTGATTGAGTGCGTTAGGTTTAGCACCACTTTGAACAGTATTTCAGTTATATCACAGTGTGTCAGCTTGATGTGGGAGGAGTGAGTGAGTGAGTTAGGTTTAGCACCACTTTGAACAGTATTTCAGTTATATAACGGTGTGTCAGGTTGATGTAGGAGGAGTGAGTGAGTTGGGTTTAACACCACTTTGAACAGTATTTCAGTTATATCACGGTGTGTCAGGTTGATGTGGGAAGAGTGAGTGAGTGAGTTGGGTTTAACACCACTTTGAGCAGTATTTCAGTTATGTCACACTGTGTCAGCTTGATGTGGGAAGAGTGAGTGAGTGAGTTGGGTTTAACATCACTTTAAACAATATTTCAGTTATATCACGGTGTGTTAGCTTGATTTGGGAGGAGTGATTGAGTGAGTTGGGTTTAACATCACTTTAAACAATATTTCAGTTATATCACGGTGTGTTAGCTTGATGTGGGAGGAGTGAGTGAGTGAGTTGTGTTTAACACCACTTTGAACAGTATTTCAGTTATATCACGGTGTGTCGACTTGATGTGGGAAGAGTGAGTGAGTGAGTTGGGTTTAACATCACTTTAAACAATATTTCAGTTATATAACGGTGTGTTAGCTTGATTTGGGAGGAGTGATTGAGTGAGTTGGGTTTAACACCACCTTGAACAGTATTTCAGTTATATCACGGTGTGTCGACTTGAAATGGGAAGAGTGAGTGAGTGAGTTGGGTTTAACATCACTTTAAACAATATTTCAGTTATATAACGGTGTGTTAGCTTGATTTGGGAGGAGTGATTGAGTGAGTTGGGTTATACACCACCTTGAACAGTATTTCAGTTATATCACATTCTGTCAGCTTGATGTGGGAAGAGTGAGTGAGTTAGTTGGGTTTAACATCACTTTAAACAATATTTCAGTTATATCACGGTGTGTTAGCTTGATTTGGGAGGAGTGATTGAGTGAGCTGGGTTTAACAACACTTTAAACAATATTTCAGTTATATCACAGTGTGTCAGCTTGATGTGGGAAGGAGTGAGTGAGTGAATTCGGTTTAACACCACTTTGAACAGTATTTCAGTTATATCACCCCGCGTTTGCTTGATTTGGGAGGAGTTGGTGAGTGAGTTGGGTTTAACACCACTTTGCACAGTATGTCAGTTATATCACGGTGTGTCAGCTTGATGTGGGAGGGGTGATTGAGTGCGTTGGGTTTAGCACCACTTTGAACAGTATTTCAGTTATAGCACAGTGTGTTAGCTTGATGTGGGCAGAGTGAGTGAGTGAGTTAGGTTTAGCACCACTTTGAACAATATTTCAGTTATAGCACAGTGTGTTAGCTTGATGTGGGAGGAGTGATTGAGTGCGTTGGGTTTAGCACCACTTTGAACAGTATTTCAGTTATATCACAGTGTGTCAGCTTGATGTGGGAGGAGTGATTGAGTGCGTTGGGTTTAGCACCACTTTGAACAGTATTTCAGTTATATCACAGTGTGTCAGCTTGATGTGGGAGGAGTGACTGAGTGCGTTAGGTTTAGCACCACTTTGAACAGTATTTCAGTTATATCACAGTGTGTCAGCTTGATGTGGGAGGAGTGATTGAGTGAGTTAGGTTTAGCACCACTTTGAACAGTATTTCAGTTATATAACGGTGTGTCAGGTTGATGTAGGAGGAGTGAGTGAGTTGGGTTTAACACCACTTTGAACAGTATTTCAGTTATATCACGGTGTGTCAGCTTGATGTGGGAAGAGTGAGTGAGTGAGTTGGGTTTAACACCACTTTAAACAATATTTCAGTTATATCACGGTGTGTTAGCTTGATGTGGGAGGAGTGATTGAGTGAGTTGGTTTAACACCACTTTGAGCAGTATTTCAGTTATGTCACACTGTGTCAGCTTGATGTGGGAAGAGTGAGTGAGTGAGTTGGGTTTAACATCACTTTAAACAATATTTCAGTTATATCACGGTGTGTTAGCTTGATGTGAGAGGAGTGATTGAGTGAGTTGGGTTTAACACCACTTTGAACAGTATTTCAGTTATATCACGGTGTGTCAGCTTGATGTGGGAAGAGTGAGTGAGTGAGTTGGGTTTAACACCACTTTGAACAGTATTTCAGTTATGTCACACTGTGTCAGCTTGATGTGGGAAGAGTGATTGAGTGAGTTGGGTTTAACATCACTTTGAACAATATTTCAGTTATATCACGGTGTGTTAGCTTGATTTAGGAGGAGTGATTGAGTGAGTTGGGTTTAACACCACTTTAAACAATATTTCAGTTATATCACGGTGTGTCAGCTTGATGTGGGAAGAGTGAGTGAGTGAGTTAGGTTTAGCACCACTTTGAGCAGTATTTCAGTTATGTCACACTGTGTCAGCTTGATGTGGGAAGAGTGAGTGAGTGAGCTGGGTTTAACATCACTTTAAACAATATTTCAGTTATATCACAGTGTGTCAGCTTGATGTGGGAAGGAGTGAGTGAGTGAATTCGGTTTAACACCACTTTGAACAGTATTTCAGTTATATCACCCCGTGTTTGCTTGATTTGGGAGGAGTTGGTGAGTGAGTTGGGTTTAACACCACTTTGCACAGTATGTCAGTTATATCACGGTGTGTCAGCTTGATGTGGGAGGGGTGATTGAGTGCGTTGGGTTTAGCACCACTTTGAACAGTATTTCAGTTATATCACAGTGTGTTAGCTTGATGTGGGAGGAGTGAGTGAGTGAGTTAGGTTTAACACCACTTTGAACAGTATTTCAGTTATATCACAGTGTGTTAGCTTGATGTGGGAGGAGTGAGTGAGTGAGTTGGGTTTAACACCACTTTGAACAATATTTCAGTTATATCACGGTGTGTCAGCTTGATGTGGGAGGAGTGAGTGAGTGCGTTGGGTTTAGCACCACTTTGAACAGTATTTCAGTTATATCACAGTGTGTCAGCTTGATGTGGGAGGAGTGATTGAGTGCGTTGGGTTTAACACCACTTTGAACAGTATTTCAGTTATATCACAGTGTGTCAGCTTGATGTGGGAGGAGTGATTGAGTGAGTTGGGTTTAACACCACTTTGAACAGTATTTCAGTTATATCACGGTGTGTCAGCTTGATGTGGGAGGAGTGAGTGAGTGAGTTGGGTTTAACACCACTTTGAACAGTATTTCAGTTATATCACGGTGTGTCAGCTTGATGTGGGAAGAGAGTGAGTGAGTGAGTTGGGTTTAACACCACTTTAAACAATATTTCAGTTATATCACGGTGTGTCAGCTTGATGTGGGAGGAGTGAGTGAGTGAGTTGGGTTTAACACCACTTTGAACAGTATTTCAGTTATATCACAGTGTGTCAGCTTGATGTGGGAAGAGTGAGTGAGTGAGTTGGGTTTAACACCACTTTAAACAATATTTCAGTTATATCACGGTGTGTTAGCTTGATGTGGGAGGAGTGATTGAGTGAGTTGGGTTTAACACCACTTTGAACAGTATTTCAGTTATATCACGGTGTGTCAGCTTGATGTGGGAAGAGTGAGTGAGTGAGTTGGGTTTAACACCACTTTGAACAGTATTTCAGTTATATCACAGTGTGTCAGCTTGATGTGGGAAGAGTGATTGAGTGAGTTGGGTTTAACACCACTTTGAACAGTATTTCAGTTATATCACGGTGTGTCAGCTTGATGTGGGAGGAGTGATTGAGTGAGTTGGGTTTAACACCACTTTGAACAGTATTTCAGTTATATCACGGTGTGTCAGCTTGATGTGGGAGGAGTGAGTGAGTGAGTTGGGTTTAGCACCACTTTGAACAGTATTTCAGTTATATCACAGTGTGTCAGCTTGATGTGGGAAGAGTGAGTGAGTGAGTTGGGTTTAACATCACTTTGAACAATATTTCAGTTATATCACAGTGTGTCAGCTTGATGTGGGAGGAGTGATTGAGTGAATTTGGGTTTAACACCACTTTGAACAGTATTTCAGTTATATCACGGTGTGTTAGCTTGATGTGGGAGGAGTGATTGAGTGAGTTGGGTTTAACACCACTTTGAACAGTATTTCAGTTATATCACGGTGTGTCAGCTTGATGTGGGAGGAGTGATTGAGTGCGTTGGGTTTAGCACCACTTTGAACAGTATTTCAGTTATATCACGGTGTGTCAGCTTGATGTGGGAAGAGTGAGTGAGTGAGTTGGGTTTAACACCACTTTGAACAGTATTTCAGTTATATCACAGTGTGTCAGCTTGATGTGGGAGGAGTGATTGAGTGAGTTGGGTTTAACACCACTTTGAACAGTATTTCAGTTATATCACGGTGTGTCAGCTTGATGTGGGAAGAGTGAGTGAGTGAGTTGGGTTTAACACCACTTTGAACAGTATTTCAGTTATATCACGGTGTGTCAGCTTGATGTGGGAGGAGTGATTGAGTGAGTTGGGTTTAACATCACTTTAAACAATATTTCAGTTATATCACGGTGTGTCAGCTTGATGTGGGAGGAGGAGTGAGTGAGTGAATTGGGTTTAACACCACTTTGAACAGTATTTCAGTTATATCACGGTGTGTTAGCTTGATGTGGGAAGAGTGAGTGAGTGAGTTGGGTTTAACACCACTTTGAACAGTATTTCAGTTATATCACGGTGTG